GCCTTTCAAATGTTTTAATGATGTTTTGACAGACAGACATTTTTATCATTCATAGAGCCTCGTCTCTCACCCTTCGCTTTTGTGGCCTGCTGCAGTGCACATTTCCACTGCCAATATATTCCACTAAATGAGCACACCATAATATATTTAATCTGTCCCTTAATATGACTTATTTATATGGTTTCCAGCTTTTTCTCTTGTAGTAACATTGTGATGTTACTTCTATACCTGAGCCCTAACAGTGGAGCCATCACATCTGTATTAATGGGCTTTCTCATTACCAGGACAAAATACCTGACATCTAAGACCTAAAGAAGGAGAGATTTAATTTGACTCCTAGTCTGTGGCTGGATGGCTTCAAGGCATAAACATTGTGGCGGAAGAGTGTGGTGGAGCACAGTCAGTTCACTTCATTGGGGTCGATAAACAGAGAGCAGGGGAGGACCATTGAAGAGGAAGGGCCAGAGAACAGATATGATACCAAAGGTCATCCCTCCATGCCCAACCCAGACACACCAGAGTGTGCTTTACTAATCTGCTAGGTGTCCTGTAATCCAGTCAAGTTGATGTTTGAGACTAATTCTCACAATATCTGGGAATATGTTCAGAGTTCTTGTATGTTTGCCAAATTGTTATTGGAATCCTACTCCATAGACCCACAACTCAGATCCCAGTCCCCAGGATTTGAATCACAGGCCCTGTGCCTCAGGACTCATGTCCTATCCTGGCCACTTTCTTTAACAGACTCTGACTTCAAACAGTCCTTATCCCATTACACTGTTTTCCCTTCCTTAGTAACAGTTATTTCTACTGGCTATTATCTTATTAATTTACATGTTTAATTTCTTTCAGTAATTATCTTGTCTAGTTTGTTGGCTGTTAATCTTTCCACACAAAGAACTGTTTCTGGCACAAACTCTTATCAAATTGGCTGTTCAATGGAATCACCAGTGAAGGCTTTAAAATCCACTTGTCCTGATCCCATATGAAATGTTCTATTATTAAATCACTTTAGCAAGAATATGTTAAGTATCATAGTCTCTGGGTGACAAAGAATGTAGCAGATACTCTCAAGTATGTTTATTCACTGCTGTGTAGTTGGGTTCTTATCAAATCCTTTTGATGTTGTGAATAGAGTGTGGTTATGAAAACTATGAACATTACTGGAATCTGTAAAATTATCACTCTTTGACTAAAAAAAATCAGACCCTCCAAATTTGAAGATCCAATCCAAAAGTGGGCATCTGAAATGAATAGACACTTCTTAGATGAAGAAGTAGAAACAGCAAGTAAATATATGAAAAAATATCCAACATCACTGGTAATTTGAGAAATGCAAATTAAAATAACACGGAGATTTCATTTCACTCCAGAAACAATGGCTGTTATCAAGAAATCAACCCATAACTAATGCTGGTGGGGCTTTGGGGAAAAAGGAACCCTTCTCCACTGTTGGTGGGTGTGTAGAGTGGTGCAAACACTGTGGAAGTCAGTGTAGAGATTTTTTTGAACTAAAATGGGAAGTTCCATTTGATTCAGCTATTCCTTCTTGACATCTTTCCAAAAGAATTAAAAGCATCATACCATAGTGATATATGTACACCTATGTTAATAGTGGCACAATTTGTAATAGCTAAATCTTGGAAACAGCCCAAATGCCCATCAACCGATGAATGGATAAAGAAGATGTGGTTTTTTAATACAATGGCGTACTACTCTACCATGAAGAAGGATGAGCTTGAGACATTTATAGCTAAATGGATGCACCTTGAGACCAAGTGAAATCAATTGAACACACATTTAAAATACCATATTATTTCTCTGGTGTGAGAAACTGAAGTGTAAATAAGAACTAAAATGTACAATAGACATTAGGAAATGGGAAGAAAATGTTCCAATGAGAACAATGGAGGGGGGAAGGTAAAAAGAAGGGACAAGAAAACAAAAGAGAAAAAAATCAAAGGAAAATATGGAAACAAAGCTTCTGTACAAAACGGAGGGGGAACAGGAAAAAAAGGAAGCAGCAAGATATATCATGTACTGGTATAAATTCCTTATGATGAATGTTATCATTATGTATATCTAAAATGTACCAATAAATGTTTTGCTAAAAAATTATCATTCTTTGGAAAATATAGAGAAAACTCATTGAGGAATTTGTGTGTGTGTGTGCATCTCTGTGTGTATATGCTGGGCTGCTTTATTTTCAGTCCACAAGAGTTGAGAGGTTTAAGTCAACTTGCACTACGTGTGCCTCCATCATTTTACTATAGAAATGTTACATGCTAAATATAGGATAATTCATGGTAAAATTTTACCAGTTGAAAATAGATCCATATACAATTAAAAATGTTCAAGAACTCATTTAACCTAAGGGCTCTTAGTTTGTTTATGGATTTTGAATTTTCTGTGCCACTGTGACCTATAAAGAAAAATAGTGCAAAATGTAGTTTTTGTTCACTACCATGTTCTATATAAAATGGTTTAGTCTAAGGAGAAAAAAAATCTAGTATTTATGGCTCTCCCCAGACCAATTAAATCAGATACTGAAAATAGAATCTGGTGATTTTAATGTGCTGACAAGTTTGAGTGTCACTGACATAGAAGGATCCCAGAAATATTAATGGATGGAGAGATGACTGAAAGTATATTGCGAACCAGAAATCTAGTCTGTGGTCCCAGCATTGCCGCTCACATGCTGTGCGACTTAGGTGTGTCACTCGACTTTTCTCAACATCTATTTAAGGGTCATGCCTTTTTAGGTTCCTTTCTGCTGTCAAGCTTCACAATTTCCCTTCTTGGTCACAGGCAGAGCCCAGAGTAGTAGTACATAAAAACAGAATGATTGAGGCTTTATAGAAACCTTCATTCAGGGTACGGTGATCCAACAGGAAGCTCTTTACTGTGGCATCCATTTACACTGGACTCAGAAAGTACTTGTGAGGCACCAGAGAATCTGGCAATTGGAAGAACATCACACAGCTCTGCCCTGAATATGCACAGAGGTACAGATAGACCCACTGCTAATTTCCAAGTAGCCCATAAGGGACACAGAATGCATATAGGAAATCTTGGATCTACAGAAGAAGGAAAATGATGTATTTGAGATATTCCTCACAAACCTATGTCATTGTTCCAGGTCTTTCCCCAAGGCTATGCAAAGGTTCAACTGCTCTGCTCCCTTGGCTGTTTTGCTAATTTTTTTTAAAGCATGCTGCTAACCCAAGTCTACTGCTGTCATCCCATACAGACAGTAAAAGAGGACAATTTCTTACCAGGAAAGTTAGCTGCTCATATTTATTTAAAACTTTGCAAAGGCATTTATAGCAAGGGACCTGTGCTGTAGTCTCCCTGAATCCTGTTATTCTCCAGGTCCTTTTTTCCTGGGGTACTTTATATCCAGCTACTTAGGCTTGCCTGCTGTGTATGATTTTGCTACCTGTCTGGAGGCATCAGTACCTATGTAGTAACTCTACAGTGGTCACAAATGATCATCACTCTCTATTTCCTCTCAAACTATACCACTTCAATGAAGGACTGTTTGAAGTTTACAAAAATAAGTTATTTGGGCCAGGGATGTAGCTCAGTGGTGTTGCGTCTGCCTTGCAAGCACAAGGTCCTGAGTTTAATCCCCAGTGCTGGAAAAAAAAAAAAGCTAACAAAAATAAGTTATTGGGAAAATTATGAGAATGAGCATCTTAGAAACTAAGTTTTATTTGCTTCACAATGGGTGAGCAGCAGAGGTCACACAACCCAGACAGTAGGGTTGTCATCTCAGCCCTTGATCTTGCGCATTCAGATCTCTAAAATTATTGGAGACTGGGGATGGCACATAGCTTTGGGTAACATTTGCTAGCTACATTTAAGAATGAAATGATGTACTTAGGGCCCTTCTAACTGCTTGTGTGCTTTTGTTGCAGGTAAGCTTCTGTTTTGTCAGGACAAACTCTAGGGAGTACAAAAAGTGCAATGAATTTTTAAAATGGCCAACAATTACTAAGTGCTTATTTTATTTTAAGAAGTTATGAATGGGGGGCGGGAATCGAGAGAAAGAAACTTTCTTTGATTTAAAGCAGTTCATTGTCTCAAACTGCTCCCCACTCTTGTAAGGATCTCTCTCTCTCTTTTTAAATTTTTATTTCTGTTAGTGCATTTTGGAGAGGGGTACAAGCGAACAACACATCTTAATTCTTTTTTTCATCCTCTTCCTTCCCTCTTCTCTCCCTCTATCTCTTGGTCTCCCTCTCTTTTGTAAAGCATCTCTTCTATAGTAAAAGATTTCACACTAAATTACTTCTGTCTTCATCTCTAAAAAATGGGGTAAAAAGAAAAGCTGGAGCAGCCATTTGGAGAAGGCATGGGGCTCGCGGCCACAGTAATAATCCTTTTATACAGCGCTATCCTCTGGGACAAACATGGGGCACATAGTATAATTGATGTGGAAGCTAGAAAGACATGGGAGGCGGCATTCGTAGGAATGTCCTTCCTTCAGGAAGACTGAGTCTTGGGATGGGGCGGAGCAGGGGACGCAGGGACTCTATCCCAAGGTAAGCGTCCTGGCAACAAGATATTATAGGTTCAAATTCTGGGGAGGGCAGAAGGCATGAGGATTATCTTCTTGGGGGCTACATCCTCTGATATATATCGAGAACTTGCCCAAGAGCGCGTAAATCAGGGCTGGAGGCCGGCCTGGAGCTAAACTCCCCAAGCTTCTATGTTCTGACCCGGGAACTCGAAGCTTCAAACGCAGCTCGCACGGAGAACAGGATTCACTCGGAGATCTGATGCCTGGTGCAGGCAGAGGAGAAAGCTGGAATGAAAAATATCACAAGATGAAAAAAGAAGACCTTTCACGAAACTACTCGGAGGAAAATTCAGAGCGAAGACGCAGCACCACAACCGCCTTCTGGGGCCGGAACAGGTACTACAGTACTCGGCATTCCGACTCTGCATTCCGGCCCCGCCCAACCGCTCCCGATGCTCTTGCGCAGGCGCAGTCGCGCCACGCTGCCTCCCCAGTGCGCATGCTCCGCCGAGCCGCGGTACCCCGAGCCGGCCCTGGCGGCGTCGGCAAAGGAAGTTTCCGCTTTGCCTTCCACCCGGGTAGCAGCGTAGCTGTAGGGACAGCTTTCTCCAGACGCTCGGTGGGCATCGCCGCCGCCCCACGTTAACTTAGGCTGATCATGGGGTGGCCCAAGGGGCAGGAGAACCAGGGTCTCCCTGAGGTAAGGATCTCTATCTCCCTGACACGTCGGGGTTCCCGAGGCGAGGCCGAACGGGGGAGGGGGCGGGCAGAGAGGGGCCCGGGGTGCCTTGGGGGTGACCCGTCCCTTTCCTCAGGTGTGTCCACTGCGGGGAGGCACCCGCCATGACCACGGCTGAGGGAGAGCGTGGGGTCCTGCGTAAGAGGGCCAGCGGGCGGCTGGGGGCAAAGTCCAGCGGCTCCCGGATCTCCTGGGCGGAGGGGCCCTTCCAGCCCGACCCTTGCTCCGGCGCAGCCCGACGTGCCGCCGCCTCTCCCGCCGTCCCGGGCGGTGACCCTCCCCCGGCGCTGAAGTGCTACCCCGTGAGCTGGGGCCGCTGCCCGCCTGAGTCACGAGAGGTTCGCGCCTGAACTGTCCCTGCTCAGGTCGTGCAGAGGGCGGTGACCTTGGACCGCGTACCCCCTCTCTCCGGGTCTGCGGGGTCCGGAGGCCAGCCCTACCCGCCCTGCTGTCTTGGAATGCCATCGTCCCTGCCTTCACCCCCATGGGTTGGGACAGCAGGAGGAAGTTTGGGAGGCGGGCGCGCACTGGGGTGGTGCGGAGTGAGGACGCGCACTCCGCTGGTACGGTGTAGTGGGAGACAAGCCTTGGGCGGAAATTTGCTGCTTTGCCGGACGACCATAAGTATCATCCCAAGGGAAAAGTGTTTGTTACTAAGTACTCGGTCCCAGGGACGGGATCATCAGTGGTTTCTAGATTTCCACGTTGTCTGGGAAATAAAGCGAAAGTGGATTCATTTTCTTTTGATTGCAAATATCGCTTAACTAGGTAGTTTGTGTCTGTCTTCTCTTCTAGTTTATTTACTTAAGAGCTAGTCTGGTTTATTAGATTCTGGAGAGAAATGGAATCCACCAGCGCTGCTTCTCTACCCCTTTCTGAAGTTCTGAAACAGACGTTTTGTCAGGGGCCCCTTCACACTGACCATTTTGCCTCTCTGTGCCCCTCCCGGATCTTCAACTCTTTCTCCCTACTGATTGAGAAATCGTTATGTTCTGTACCCAGGTTGGGGATATAGTGATGCAAGGACTGGCATAGCCAGTGTGTTCCTGGAAGGCAAATCCATTGTTTTGTAAACATGCACCACCACGTTGCTTTCATTTTATGGGAGATTGTGAAGAGTAAGATCTGTTCTGTGATATTTTAAATTTTCATTTTTGCTACTTTTTAATTCTAGGTTCATCGAGTTTTTACCTGGCCTTTGCTGTAGACTCTTATCTGATCTCTCAGGTCCTACCTTAAATCCTCCAGTGCACTATCCTACAGTGCTGCAAATGGGGTGGGAGGGTCTTTCTAAGTAAATAACCTGCTGCTGGGACCCTTCACTTACTGCTAGGAGTCTGAGTCTACTCTATTGTTTTTTGTTTTTTTGGTCGCCCCCCCCCCCAAGAGTTTAAGACAGTTCCTAGCAGTTTTGGAGGCAGTCAAGGTGAATATAATCAGATTATTACCAAAGATGAGTCTCTCATCCAGCCACCACTAGTCCAGCTAATTCATTAAATTCAACTCTTAAAACCCTTTTCTGAATGTTTGTGAAGGATAAAAAGACAGCTGGGCTTCACCTTGCCTTCCAGCTTGCATGAGCTATAAGGCAGGGCAATTGAAAATTTATTGGGCCTGGTTTAAGAGCTCACAGTCATTCATTTATATCAGAATTTTAGTTTTAACTGAGTGTATTAATCACCTTGGTAGCTTTTTATGGCTTCGAAAGAGGATATTCTTTTATTCCTGTATATTAGCCAGAGGTCCTTTACCATTTTGATTCAGAGTTAATCTGTAAAGGAAATTTGGAGTCAAATATTCCAGCTCCAGTGTCTTGCAAAAAATTCTTTCACAGGTTGTATTGCAGAAGTACAGTTCTCTATTCTGGGGCTGAGTGGATGAGAAGCAGTGGCCATGCATTGGCAGTGGAGTGGCCTGTGGGGCTCTTTAGAAATGAGTTGAGGCCAGAATAATCCTCCTGTGATGTGTCCTCCTCTTCATGTCCTAAGTGTCCTACATGTTTTCCTGGTAAATGATGATTGAAAAAGTGAAAGATTCTCAGTTTACTTCCCAGGAGTTTTAAGAAAATATTTATATCATCTAATTTTCATTTTCTTCTCCATCTTCATGAATTGTACCTGGCCTGTATCTTTTCTTTTTTGAGTCTGTTCACTTTTAGTTGTTTCTCAACCATCACAGATCTTTTCGAAAGAAATACAAGGTGTGAATAATTCATATTGATTTTTGTGTGTTCACTAATAACTAGTGAATGCAAATCTTTAGAACCTTTCAAAGGCTGTACCAGAGTCTTTTTGAGAGAGAGGGGATGAGTGAAATGTACAGTGGCTCAAGATTGTTGCCTCCCCAAGGTGATTAATATACCCAGTTAAAATTAAAATTGTGATTAAAAATGAATGACTGAGCTCTTAAACCAGGCCCAATAAATTTTCAATTGCCCTGCCTTATAGTTGCATTAGCATGGAACATGCTAATTGCACGTTTAACTTTGTGTTAATGTGTGTCCTCCCTTTCCTGACAGTTTGTACTTCAAAATGAATTTGATTTTCTTTTATCAGTGTCATGACTATGAAAAAAACTACAAATACATGACTAGATTACATGTACTTCATGTAATGCTTGTACATCATTCCCTACTTAGTAGGTGCATCTGTATTATTCAGTTTTCCTTTTGTTACACACAAAACCTGACACCCACAACTTAAAGTGTTTCAAGAGGTTAATTTTTCATGTTTTAAGGAGATTCAGTTCATGGTCATCTGGTTCCAAGACAGAAACATCAAGCTGGAAAAACATGGTAAAGCAAAACTGCTTAGTTCATGGCCTCTGGGGAGAAGAGTGGGAGAAAAGTGCCAGAAAGGGGCAGGAGACCAGAGGTAGACCCCAAAGCCACACCCCCATGATTCACCCAGACACCCAGCAATCTCCCAAAGCCAGTCAAGTTGAAACTCCACCTTAACCACCACAGTATTTTTTGAGCCAAATGTTTAGGTCCAGTGAAGTACACATATGTATAATACATAGATTCTCTAATGAGCAAGCAGATAGTTCAGTCAGTAAGACAGGCATGTATATAATACCTGACATATTACTCAGAAGAGGTTGATAATTCATTATATGAATGACATGGACAGTACATAAAATAGAAATGCAGAAATGAACATTTCAGCTGGATTAGTAAGGAGTGGCATCTAATAGGAGTTAGAATTTGCCAGTGATCTCTAGATAGAAAATATCAAGGGAAGGGGAATGGTGTGAAGGGAAGAATGAGCAGTGCTTGATTAGATAGAACCATATTCAGATTGTTTGGTGGGCAAAATAAAGGATGAAGCTGAAAAGATAGGTTGCAGCCAAATATCTGACTGCCAAACCAAGCAATTTGGAGTTTATTTTATAGACAGTATATGATGCATTGTGGTGAGGGCTGGGGTATGGATTAAAGAGGGACAATGTGAAAGCTTTAGGAAAGAGACAAAAAAGATTGAGAGTCAGTTGTAATAGTCACTATGTAAAGTATTAATATAAAGGGAGGATATATGTGAGATGCACAGCAAAGGAAGATTTAGCAGGTATTGTGTGAGGGAATAGTCAGAGATGAGCATGAAAATTTGAACCAGCACACTTTGGTGTTTTACATAGAAAAGTGATTTTTAAAAGTTTTTACAATAATGGGAGACAGGAAAGGCAGTTCATGAAATTAATGATAGTTGCAAAAAACCAGAATATTTAGATGGATTTAAGTAGTAGATAAACAGTTGAGGTGAGAAAGATATAAATTAAGAATTTCAAATCAAATCCAAATCTATATATATTAGATGAATTCATTATTTTTAGGGCAGTCCTATTATGTGGCAGTAATTACTCCCTAATATGTCTTCATTAAAAGCCTTCCTTATATTTGCTTTAGAGATCCAAAAGGGAAATGCAGAGAGAGATACATATTTGAATTTCCTCCTTTGCTCTTCTCTTGTCAGTAAATTCCAAGACCTGGATGAGTATAGTTTAAAACCCAAATACCTTGTTCCTGTCTGTAAAGAGCTTATAATGTAGTTGAGAAGCCAGTCGAGTAGACCATGTATTAGAGAAAGGGAGATAATGTGCTCTAAATCTTCCTTTTCACTGTATTCCTTTAACATGTGATGAACTTCTTTCTCCCAGCTATGATATTTAACAGCTCATTGAAGACTGGGGACCTCATTTTGAATTCTGGCAACAATGTCCACATGATTCTGTAGATGCTTGTTGACTTTCACAGAAAATCTGGGGCAGTGAATGAGCTGTTATCGCCTGCTCTTGGCAATGAGATTGTGGCTTCTTAAGTATATACTTGATTTTCCTTTATTCAAGATAGCTTTCACCAGCCACACTTGTGACTTTTGTTCTAGGTAGAAACAAGAGAAGATGAAGAACAAAATGTCAAGTTGACTGAAATTCTGGAACTCTTGGTTGCAGCTGGATATTTCAGGGCAAGAATTAAAGGCTTGTCACCTTTTGACAAGGTAAGTGCAAAGTTTGCCACTAGACTGTTTCTCATGAGGATGTCACAGTTAACCATGGCAGAGAAAGGAGGAAGAGATTGTTTTTCTTCCTAATGCAGAGTCGTTATAGAAGTATTCTTATTTCTTATTTAGAGAAATTAAGGATCAACCAGTAGATACAATTAAATTACTGTGCATCGAGTTTTTTAAAATGCAACAAGCAAAAGAAAGTTTCTTCATTCAAGGAAGTTACAGGTTGGGTAGGGTTATAAAAGTCATGTTAGAAAATAATTTAAGTTAATTGCTACTCCAAGTCACCATGCTCACAGACAGGTGATGTGTATTTTATTAATGGCAAATGCTCTGAGTTGGGAGGAGGGTGAAGTCAGTGTGGGATGGAGTATTTTAATTTAGCAGAACTATGAAGGATTATTATGTGTGTGATATAATAATAGATGTTAAGGGCACAGAGATGAAACAATATTACTGAATGGAAAGAGCACTACTTTTGTAGAGTAGAGAAGAGACACAAGTAAACTAACATGCATAGAATGAATGGCATGATATAATAAGTGGCACAGTGCACTGTGCACAGAATGTATCTAGGACCTATAGAGCAGGTGGGGAAATTTTTAGGAATCTAATGCTGAGTAATTCAGGAGCAAGAGCAGGTCGTAGTCTTGGCTGCGCATAATAACGTAATCACCTGGGTTATTTTGTAATATGTGTCCAGTCCTAACCCGTTGAACTTCTAGTTAGATTTAGGCTGAGGCCTTGGAATCTGTATTATATTGGACATAGCCGAAGATAAACTTCACTGTTTATTCCTAGTATCAAGCTGTGTTTGAAAAGCATTTTGTTTCAGAGTGGGTTTTTAGCCTTAGACTTATTTGCATCTCAGAGAAATCCTGTAAACAAAGAAGAGCAGGAATTCTCACTTTTATTAGGTAGATGAGAATAATATTTGTGGAAATTAATTAATGAGGCAAAAAATGTCAACCTTGCAGCACTTAATATCTGGTCTATAAAACAATTCCTGTGGAGTCTAGCACTTGTCTGACACTGGGTTAAGAAAATCTCTCAGCTGAGATTTAATGTCTGTCCCCTTTACTGTAAAGAGGATCTGTAGATAATACATCCATTTAATAGCAAAAGTCAGCTTTTCGGTCACATTAGTATTTCAGGTGCTCAGCAGCCACTGAGTATTGTGACTGGTATTGGACAACGCAGGTATAGAACATTTCCATCATTGCAGAAAGTTTTATTTGACTGCTATTTTAGATTAATTGAGTGTAAGGAGGACATGTCTCTCTCTGAAGACATAATTTTGTATGTTTACTGAAAACTCTTTATGCATTTTATCTACCTTTTACTTCTACTTTCCTTGAACTAAAAAGAGAAAGCAAATATTTTCTTTGTTTCTTACAGGTAGTAGGAGGAATGACTTGGTGTATCACCACTTGTACCTTTGATATAGATGTTGATTTGCTCTTTCAGGAAAACTCTACAATAGGTCAAAAAATGTAAGTCATTTGGGTTTGTAGTAGAAGAGCCTAAAGTGAATTAGAAGGGGACTTTTGTGGGGCTGGGTAATTATGGGTTTATATGCTCATTCTTTTTCATTTCTCATGTTACACTGCATGTATTTATTCTTAATATAAACTCTTAAATGCTTACATGTGGATTGTTTCTAACATTTTTAGCCTTAAGTTGGTTACTCTTCACCATATAGCACATCTTACTATATTTTGTTATGTTTTTGGTTTTTTCATTGATGTTACTGTTTATTTGCTTAGTAATCAAACTAATAGTACTAAGCGAAGGAAAATACAACTAAGTCAGAAAATCCTATAGAAGACATTCATAAGTGTGTTCCAAAACTATGCATAATTTTTCAAAACAAATGGTCCACGCCATAAGCATCTTTGTAAGAATGTAATTAAGAGAAGAGCAGGCAAGTAAATCTCACTTTGTAGTTTCTTGGTGAACTGACCCTTTTCCATTTTGTTAAGGTCCTCTTTATCTCTCATAATGTTTCCTGTCCGGAAGTCCACTTGTCTGATATTAACAGTTACTCCAGCTTTCTTAAATTTTTCTTCATTTTGAAGGTTGGTTTCTTTAGTCATCATCTAGTGAACCCTTCCCTTTTTATGCAGTCTGATAATCTCTTTTAGTTGGTATGTTTAGACAATATTTAATGTACTTGTGATATGGTTTAGTTTAAAAATCTGTCTTCCTGCTAGTTTTGTATTTGTTCCATTTTTTTCTTTGTTCCTTTATTTTTTTCTTCTACCTTTTTTTGCATTGATTAGGTATATTTCTGTAGCTCCATTCTATCTTTTCTCTTGGATCTTAATTATCCTTCTTTTTAAAAACTTAGCTGCTGCCTAATATTAAGGTATTTATTACATGCAGTTTTTATTTATCAGCCTATCTTTCAGTAATACACTACTTCACATGTAGTGTAAGATCTGTATAACGCTATACTGCCAATTCCTCCTTTTTCTCTTATGTACTGTATGTTTATTTTTTAAATGTGTTATAAACTTTTCAGTATAATTCTCCTATTTTTGTTTTAGGTCATGGATCAGCAAACTTTTTCTGTAGGTCCAGATAGTAAATATTTTAGGCTTGTCTTTGGTCTCTGTCACAGCCACTCTCTGCTGTTGTAGTGCAAAAGTAGCCATAGATAAATACACAAATGAGCATGGCTATGGGAAACTAACTTTTGAGTGTCTCCTAGATGCCAGAAGCTATGCTAAATGCTTCACATATTTTATTTTAATTTTCATTGCAACAGATATTATCCCAGTTTTATAGGTAGAACTGAATCTGAAAAAAGCCAAGGTCACACAGCTAGTGTATAAGTCATTTAATGTTCAGGCTATTGCTGATTGTGTTTCTTGATCACAATTTCCAGTGACTGTAATTCATCTTTTTCCAAGACACTAAATTGGGTGGAAATCTGTTAAGAGGAGGAAAGGAGAATCTTTCCCTCACTGTTGCCTTTGTTGTGTTAGGCAAAGCCTTGTTTTGTCTGTCTTTGAGAAAAGATAACATGGGCTCCTTGTGAGGGATTTCACCTGAGGGTACTTTGTGCAGTCTTTCATGGTTCAACAGGGGCTTGACCATTATATTAAATCATTCAGTATACCCAGTTCTGCTCCCACACCTGTCAGTAGGCAGCCCTGACCTTGGTTAGGCCATTCCTACTCTGGGCCTCAGATCTGTTATCTGTAAGTGAGATTTGTGAGCTCAGATGCATATGACTCTATCATTTATTTAATTTTCTGAAACATTACCCTTTCTCAAGAAAAAACACTTCCAAAAGGATTAAAAGTGGGTTATAAATATAAACATGAAGCAATAATAGTGGAAAAGCAGAGTAAAGGGAAAGGAAAAAAATTGAGGACATGAGTAAAGGGCCCACAAAATGCTTTGTTTTCTGTGGATGGGTCAGAGATTTGCCTGTAAGTTTTCTGGCAGCCAACAGGAAGAGAAAAACATGATAAATTTGCATGTTCACAGTTGACTTATGGAAAATTGGTTCTTGAGAATCAAATTATTAATGTTAAGACAAGTGGACATCTCTCAAGGCTATCATTAAAAGAACATTAGTGAGAGAAGGTGAGCCGGTCCCAGAACCCGGAAGGAAGCTCCCCCGCCACCATCCCAAGCTCCTAGGCCAGAGAAGCTGGGCCTGTCCCAGCACCTGGAAGGAAGCTCCTCCGCTGCCATCCCAAGCTCCTAGGGCAGAGAAGGTGAGCCCTGCCGGCTCCAGAAGCACACCCCGCCCCCCTTGGAAATGAGAAGACATGTAAACAAGCCTCAAAAACAGACTTCTGGATCACTTACAGCAACCCCAAAGGAAACGAGATGGAACAATCTGATACTCAACCACCTGGATTCTCTGAACTGGCAACAAAAGAGGACCTAGGAAAAATGAAATCAGAAATAATTACTCAGATAACAGCAAAGATTTTGCTCATGGTGCAAGACCTGATTAATAAATCTAGAGAGGACA